ATCAAGATAGATGGTTTAGAACTTGAAAGTTATTTTAATCCATATCACTGAGATTTGAAAATGAAAGTTGTATATTTAACAATAAATGTTTGTTTTTTCAAAAAGTAACATCAGATTGAGAAGGGATTGGTTAGATAGGTTATTAAGGAGCCTTCCATTACTCAGCCTCATTTATAATATTTTCACCATTAAATACAATATATTCCTGATTCTGCATCATTTCAATTTCCAGTTCAGCATAGGATGCAAAATATTTGTCTATCTGAAGGGCTTATTGCCTGAATCTGTGCCAACTCTAGTGTATGTTATGTCAGGGGACAGCCCTACTTTCCCTGGGTTGATTGTGGAGAACAACTAATGAAAAAACTTGAAAAATTGGGATGACTGTAGATAATGTACTTTGTACCAAGAAAAGGGATAACTCTCACCTTTTTTATCTTTGTGGATGGATTATTGCTCATGACAATGGGAGACTATTAGCAAGGAATAGAACCTGGCAAAGTGTAGCCCAGCATTGTGCAAACTTCCCACAAACAACTATTGCAATGCTCTTAAATCATAACCTGATGCTCATTTTTTGTTTTTCCAGTTCCCAAGCCCTTTATGCTGCTCCGCCAATACATCTCAGTTGTGAGTTGTAGCACCCTCCACTGCTCCAGTCCTACTCATTCTTACACCTCTACCACTGATTCTCAGTAACCTCTTGGTCAGAACTGTATCAAATTATGTAGTATTTGTTTGATTAGATCATTTGCTCATGAGTAAACTTGGCCTATCTACTTAAGAAGAATGTGCAATCTTATGAAAGAAAACAGAACAGTGTAACTCTACTGCAGAAAAAGCAAACATTTTTCTGGCATGTATTAGCAGGCATATTGTGAGCAAGACATTACAAGTAATTCTTGCACTCTGTGCTGATTAGGCTTCAACTGGAGTATTGTCTTCATTTCTTGGCACCACATTTCAGGAAAGATGTGGACAAATTGGAGAAAGTCCAGAAAAGAGCAGTGAAAACTTTAAAGTTTCAGAGGGGTAGCCATGTATGTCCGTTTCAGCAAAAAAAAACCAAAAAAAAACAAGGAGTCCTGTGCACTTTAAAGACAAATATATTTGGGCATAAGCTTTAGTGGGCTGGGAGCCCACTTTGTAAGAGTCATGAAGTGGAAACTTCCATTTGGGAGGGATATATCATGATTAAGGAAATCATCTGCAAATACTTGGAAGATGATAAGGTGACAGGGAACAGCCAGCATGGATTTGTAAAGAACAAATCATGTCAAACCAACCTGATAGCTTTCTTGGATAGGATAACGAGCCTTGTGGATAAGGGAGAAGCGGTGGACGTGGTATGCCTAGACTTTAGTAAGGCATTTCATACGGTCTCTCATGATATACTTATCAATAAACTAGGCAAATATAACTTAGATGGGGCTACTATAAGGTGGGTGCATAACTGGCTGGATAACCGTTCCCAGAGAGTAGTTATTAATGGTTCACAATCCTGCTGGAAATGTATAACAAATGGTGTTCCGCAGGGGTCTGTTTTGGGACCGGTTCCGTTCAATATCTTCATCAGCGATTTAGATATTGGCATTGAAAGTACGCTTATTAAGTTTGCAGATATCAAGTTAGGAGGGGTTGCAACTGCTTTGGAGGATAAGGTCATAGTTCAAAATGATCTAGACAAACTGGAGAAATGGTCTGAGGTAAACAGGATGAAGTTTAATAAGGACAAATGCAAAGTGCTCCACTTAGGAAGGAACAACAGTTTCACACATACAGAATGGGAAGCAACTGTCTTGGAAGGAGTACAGCAGAAAGAGATCTAGGGGTTATAGTGGACCACAAGCTAAATATGAGTCAACAGTGTGACACTGTTGCAAAAAAAGCAAACATGATTCTAGGATGCATTAACAGGTGAGTTGTGAGCAAGACACGAGAAATCATTCTTTCACTCTACTCTGAGCTGGTTAGGCCTCAGTTGGAATATCGGGTCCAGTTCTAAGCACCACATTTCAAGAAAGATGTGGAGAAATTGGAGAAGGTCCAGAGAAGAGCAAAAAGAATGATTAAAGGTCTAGAGAACATAACCTATGAAGGAAGACTGAAAGAATTGGGTTTGTTTAGTTTAGAAAAGAGAAGATTGAAGGGGGACATGATAGCAGTTCTCAGGTATCTAAAAGGATGTCATAAGGAGGAGGGAGAAAACATGTTCTTCCTGGCCTCTGAGGATAGAACAAGAAGCAATGGGCTTAAACTGCAGCAAGGGAGGTTTAGGTTGGACATTAGGAAAAAGTTCCTAACTGTCAGATTGGTTAAACACTGGAATAAATTACCTAGGGAAGTTGTGGAATCTCCATTTCTGGAGATATTTAAGAGTAGGTTAGATAAATGTCTTTCAAGGATGGTCTAGAAAGTATTGGGTCCTGCCATAAGGGCAGGAGACTGGACTCCCTTCCAGTCCTAGTATTCTATGATAAAATGATAATGAAAAAATGATTAAAGGTCTAGAAAACATGACCTATGAGGGAAGATTGAAGAAAATGAGTTTGTTTAGCCTAGAGAAGAGAAGATTAAGAGGGATATGACAGCTCAGTATCCTGTCATCCGTTTTTAAATACCTAAAAGGTTGTTGCAAGGAAGAAAAAATGTTATCCTTAATCTCTGAGAATAGGATAAGAAGCAATAGGCTTAAATTACAGCAATGACAATTTTGGTTGTACATTAGGAAAAATTCCTAAAATGTCACGGTGATTTAGCACGGTAAATTACCTAAAGAGGTTGTGGAATCTCTATCATTAGAGATGTTTAAATGAAAGTTAGGGTACGTCTAGACTACATGCCTCTGTCACCAGAGGCATGTAGATTAGGCTACCAGACATAGTAAAATGAAGTGGTGATTTAAATAATCGCTGCTTCATTTAAATTTACATGGCTGCCGCGCTGAGCCGACAAACAGCTGATCAGCTGTTTGTCGGCTCAGCGCGGCAGCCATGTAAATTTAAATGAAGCAGCGATTATTTAAATCACCACTTCATTTTACTATGTCTGGTAGCCTAATCTACATGCCTCTGGCGACAGGCATGTAGTCTAGACGTACCCTTAGACAAACACCTGTCAAGGATGGTCTAGATCAGCTGTGGCCAACCCGCAACTCGTGAGCCGCATGTGGCTCTTCCCCTCCCCCGAAAGTGCAGCTCACGAAGCTGCCCCTGCGCCCCAGAAAATGGCTCCCGGCTCCCTGTGTAGGGTAGCTGTCTAGTGTGGCCATTCAAAATGATGTCTTCAAGATGGTGGCGACCCATCTTGGGTCTGATGTGGCCAAAATGCCTTTAACTGCGTTTCTTAAAGGGCAGTCCTCCTTTTTTCTCTCTCTTTCAACCCTGGGGGGTGGCTGCTTCTTTTTTTTTTTTTTTCCTACTTGACCTAACGCAGCTGGGGCATCTTTTTTTGTATTATTATTTTGCTCCACAACTTTTTCCCCCTGGCTCTTTGCACTATATGCACAACTATTTTGGCTCTTTGCCTGTAACGGGTTGGCCACTCCTGTTCTAGATAATACTTAGTTCTGCCATGAGAAGTGGGGAATGGACTAGACCAGTAGTTGTCAACGAAAAGTATTCATATCCCTGGGAGTACACAGAGGTCTCATCAGCTCATCTAGATATTTGTCTAGTTTTATAACAGACTAACTAAAAAGCCCTAGTGATGTTGGAACAAATTAAAATTTCATACAGACCAAATGAAAATGTAAGCAATTTTTCAGTAATAGTGTGTTGTCACAGTTTTCTATTTTTATGTCTGATTGTATAAGCAATTAGCTTTTAAGGGAGGTGAAACTTTGGTTATGCAAGTCAGCTCAGATTCTTGAAAAAAGGTATAATAGTCTGGAAAGGTTGAGAACCCCTGAACTAGATGACCACTCGAAGTCCCTTTCACTCCTACAATTGTATGGTTACCTAATATATATAAAAACATAAGAACAGCCATACTTGGTGAGACCAAAGGTCTGTCTAGCTCAGTATCCTGTCATCCGACAGTGGCCAATGCCAGATACCCCAGAGGAAGTGAGCAAAACAGGTAATCATCAAGTGATCCCTCTCCTGTCACCCATTTCCAACCTCCGACAAACAGAGGCTAGAACACCATTCTTACCTATTCTGTAAGTACTGATGGACCTAACCTCCATGAATTTATCTAGCTCCTTTTTGAGCCCTGTTAAAGTCCTGGTTTTCACACCTGTGGAACTCTGGCAAGGAGTTCCACAGGTTGACTGCGCTGCATGAAGAAAAACTTCCTTTTGTTTGTTTTAAACCAGCTATCTACTAATTTCATTTGGTGACCCTTAGTTCTTAGGTTAGGGGAACAATAATTTTACCTTAATCACCTTTACCATACCTCTCATGATTTTATAGACATCTATCATATCCCCCTTAGTCTCCTCTTTTCTATACTAAAAAGTCCCAGTCATTTTAATCTCTCTTCATATGGCACCTGTTCCAAACCCCTAATAATTTTTGTTGCCCTTTTCTAAATCTTTTCCAATGCCAGTATATCTTTTTTGAGATGAGATGACCACATCTATACATAGTATTCAAGATGTGGGAGTACTATGGATTTATATAGAGACAATAAGATACTCTCTGTCTTATTCTCTATACCTTTTTAAATGATTCCTAACATTCGGTTTGCTTTTTTGACTGCTGCTGCACATTGAGTGGATGTTTTCAGAAAACTATCCACAGTGACTCCAAGATCTCTCTCTTGAGTGGTTATAGCTAAATTAGTTCCCATCATTTTTGTATGCATAGTTGGGATTATTTTTTCCGCGTGCATTACTTTGCATTTATCAACATTAAAATTAATTTGCCATTTTGTTGCCCAATCACCTAGTTTTGTGAGATCCTTATATTTTTATGCAAATATATATTTATGTTTTACTTTATGCTGTACCTAAAATATTTATCTTGCTATTAATCTTTCATTTGATTTTCTTGCAGCCCAGATGACTTACTGAATGCACTGAATGAGGGTATCAGCCGTGCAGACGTTATCATCACATCAGGAGGCGTGTCCATGGGTGAAAAGGTATAAGCTGAAGCATGAATGATTCATCAGACATGAAGTCAGGAGTTCCTGATGGCAACTCCAAATGTAGTCATGATTATTATCAAAGGACCCCAATTCCCTGAACCTAGGGATAGTGGATTAATTATACAAGTAATCTTTGATACTGTCCTTATGATTTTGTTTCTGTGCTATCATGGTTTTATGATATCGCTGGGAACAATCTAAGCATTCCTCACCCATCTTTTTGCAAGTTACTCCTTTCTAGTACTAGAAATTCCCCACTAGTTTATAACACTTTAAACAGGGCTTCCATGTACACTAGACTTTAATAAACATCTTTGATGCAGTAAGCACTGTAAACAACTTTTTTTTTTAATTTAAACAGGACTATCTTAAACAGGTGCTGGACATTGACCTTCATGCACAGATTCACTTTGGCAGAGTTTTTATGAAACCAGGGTAAGAAATATGTTTTTAATTTTGTAGCCCTGATGGAGTTTACCTGGTGCTACACATGGTTTTTGTCCTGTTTTGGTAGAGATGTTATTTTAAAACCTAATAAAAACCACTGGATAATTGTATATGGGAAAAGAAATAGTAGCAACCCTAATTAAATCATTCTTACCATTGCTAGTGAATTCAACTGGAATTGAAAGCTTACTATTGATTAACAATAGAAATTGCTATGTTGGAAATCACAGAAAAAAATTAATATTCAAAAACGTTCAGTGCTCTGAATATGTTGCCAGGCTCAGACACAAACTTTGCTATGAAAACTGAGAAATGGAACTCCATTCTAGTTGTTATGTTCATTAAACGTTTCACATCCCTTCAAAATTCACATGACCCATATAGATACAAAAAAAGAGTTTTTAAATAAGAGAAGGCTGGAGTAGAAATCTTGGTTGCAATGCTCCTTGTCTAAAGGAATTCTGAAGTGATACAGGATGTTTTACATGCTTGTTTTACATATAAGCACGTAGAGTATACTACTAATGCAGATGTTCAAAAAAATAAAAAACAGATATGAAAAGGAGAAAATACCTATTGTAGCAACAGGATTCTTTCTAAATAAAATGAAGACATTTGACAAGTCCTTAACCCTTGGAACACTAAGCAGGTCCCAAGTGGATGACACCTGGTAACTCAATGTTTTAATAATCTGGGAGTGATAATTGTGGTCAGCTTTAGTATTCTACCAGCTGGGTCATTTGAGATTGGCTGCCTGGAGACTCAAGGAATTGAGACAATTGGCAGCAGGAAGAGAGGGCCAAGAAAGGAGGAAAGTGGAAGTTGTATGGTTAAAGTAATCAGTCCTTTATTGGGATGTCTATGGGCCAATACAGTATGAATAAGTATTAATGATTCTAAAGCAATTTGGGCAGAAAGGGTATCATGCAGTCAGGAATCTGGCGAGGAGAAATGCTTACTAGACAGAAGGATCAACATGTGGGGAACAGGTTAAAATGATTGTTGGGAGAGAGGGAAGGATGAGGACAAGGAGATGAATGTAATCAATTTAAGCTCTTCAGCACAATTTAATAAGCACTATGCTCACAGTGCTCTAAGTTTTAAAAAACAGTGACAATAAAGGAGACAAAGCAAATTTCAGATTATGAAAGGAATGGAAGGTAATCTATACATTAAAATAGTGCAGCCGGGCTAGACCCGAATTCAGTGTATTTATTAAACATTTTTTTCTCCCCAGATTGCCAACAACATTTGCAACTTTGGATATTGATGGCGTACGAAAAATAATCTTTGCACTGCCAGGTAAGATATTTTGTGATGTTTTTTGTTAACGTCCATAGCTACAAAGAGATATAAAACAAAACAAGAATGCCTCACGAAGATCAGAGGTCTGGCACTTGATCCTCTATAATTCTTGAGATTTTCTCACCAATTTTTATTCAGAAAAGGGTTTATTTGAGGGTATGCCAGAGAGTTCTTAGGCCTGAGCATGTGATGGAGCACAAGACCAGAGACTTCCTTTGTGTTTGTAAAGAAAATTGTGCAGTTGCCCTTGCCTCTTACTTTCCTCTTCCTCCCAATAGATATTCCCTGAAGGAATTACCCATGTTAGTTAAATTAAAGAATCTGATGTACCAGACATAAACTAGCAGTTTAGACAAAAACTAGCAGTCCCAGAAAATGTCATAAAAGTGTACTCTTGCTTGTCAAACTCATACTGTGACAAGGTACATGAGGCACTGGGGCTCTTGTGCGTTTCAAAGCCATGGAGCCCAGGGTCAGCGGAGGACTTACAGTCCCCTGCTGACCTCGGGCTCCATGCTATGGGCTCCCCTGCCCCTTTGACTCATGCAGAGACGGCAGTTTCAAAGGAGCAGCCGCCACACAGCTGATCAGTTTCAAAGGGGCAGCAGGGGAGCCCGGGCTCAGCTAGGGACTCCCCAGCTGACCCCGGGTTCCACGTGGCACTTCCCTGAAACCCAGGGTCAGCTGGGGACTCCCCAGCTGAGGCTAGGTCCTGGGGAAATATTGCAGGGAGCCTGGGATCAACTGGGGAGTCCCCAGCTGAGCCCGGGCTCCCCTGCCGCCCCTTTGAATCGTGCAGAGGTGGCATTTTAAAGGGGCAGCCCACTGCCACTTTGAAGTACTCCTCCCCCCCCTTTGCTGCCTCTTTCATAGAGGCAGCATGGGGAAAGGGGAAGAATTGACTAGTCTACATTACTATCCAATAAGCAAGTGCTAGTGTGGAAAGTGCTTAGATCAGTATATCTTGCATCACCATTACACAGAAAGTGTCTTTTTCATACCTGAGAGAGATAAGTAACATTGACTTAAGTTATAGTATAGACCTAACCTCAGTATTGGATTAGGAGTGTGGCCAGGAAGCTACATACTGATTGTTTTCAGGAGAGAGATGAGTAGAGCATACACCTAATTGTATAATGTATATTAGGGTTGTCACCAAGAACAGCCCAGGTGTTGGTAAGAAGTGTTGCTGGTAAAAAGTAGGTGGCACTCTTCTCTCCGAGTCAATATTAAACCCCAGTATCTTGTGCTACTCCAAGTTAGTACTAAAACAATTTGCTGGTATGATGTTAGGGGACATTTTACAGCCAAGTTCCAACTTCCCAATGAATACATAAAGAATCTGAGATTGTGCGGATATTAAAGACCCCATGATACTTTTTACAAAATTACAGATATTAATCCAATGCCTAGTGTGAATTATAATCTGATACATTACAATCTGCAGCCCTCAAGTTCCCTTTCAGTTTCGGTTGGATACAGTATTCTGCTTCTCCACTTGTCCTAAACTCCTGAGTAGAACAGTTGTGTGCTTCTTAACAACTGCCATATACCACTCCAGATTTTGGTTAAGTTCTTCCCCTATACTTAGTGTCAAAAGCTCTTTGAATTCTTTAGGATGACAGTTGCTATGGAAATATGGGATAATTTCAGTGTTTCACATCTTAACTCAGACTTACTTACATGTGAACTACTGTTGTGTTTTGCCGTCTAGGAAATCCTGTATCAGCTGTTGTCACCTGCAATCTCTTTGTAGTCCCAGCACTGAGGAAAATGCAGGGCATTTTGGATCCTCGGCCTACCATTATCAAAGCCCGGGTAAGGACTTTCAAATATGGGATATATTTAAAATAGTTAGCTTCTGTATCATGTTGGGATCCTGCTATCTAACACACCCGGTAAGTCCCCACATACTCTAACTTTGTATAACTTAACAGTAGAGATACGATGATAAATTGAAGTGGATTCAGAGCAGAAAATAGGTTAGATGACTAAAGAAGAAGATTTTAAAAGCTAAATATATGTTTAATTCAATTAAATGACATCTAAAGTTCATAAGACAATTGCCTGAAAAGATGTACAGTAAAACTCCAATGGTCTGGCATCTGATGGTCCGGCACTCCTGATGGTCCGGCACCATCAGGAACCCGGAAGTGCTCCGGGCAGCCAGCCCATTGGAGCTGCTCTGCCCCCAGCTTCCCCGATTCAGCTGCTGCTAAAACTGA